TTTTGTAGCTTTTTTATTTCCAACTTATGTCACATTTGTTCAGTTAAGGCTATTGGTGTTGAATTCTGACAGTGGCAAGGAGTGTCAGTTGCACCTTAACCCAAAAAAAAAAAAAAGGAAAAAAATATGAGTGTCAGTTGCAGAAGATGAAAAAAAAATGGAGATACATTTCTAAAATCTCATACGTGGTAGATCACAGCTAGGTTTGTTACTGCTTTTATTCCACGAATTACATCGTATATTCTTGAGCAAATGCTTGATGAGCTTAATATGTATCGTTATAGTTTTCCTAAGTTAATATATATCATTATTCACTTGTGTACTACATTATCTGTTGATTTTTGTATCTCATAAACTTCAAAGGATCTCTTTGAAGAAATTTAAGGAATTTTGTGTGAGATTTAGTGGAGTATCAGTGTCCAACTTCCTATATGTGTGTGCGTTTGTATCCAACAGAGTACCTGAAATAACAATGCATTTTTTGTTTGTATGACTTATTTCTCTCTGTGTTGCCTTCTCTCTCCCTTTCCTCCTACAGTAAACCTATATAAATGGTGTTTTCAGTGCAGTATCTGTGGCCAACTTCCTCTGTGCTAGTGTGCTCAACAGAGTACCTGAAATAAAGATGCATTTTTTGTTTGTGCGATTCTATCATATTATTCCCCTCTCTCTCTCCCCTCCTACCAAACACCTATATAAATGTTGTTAGCGATGGATAAATTTTTTTCCAATTCCTAATTTCATTGAAAACTGGACTACATCAGTATCAGGCCAAATTTAGATTTTACTAGCCATTTTTTCCCTTCCTTTTTTGGTTAATGGTGCAGTTCAGTTCCTACATTTAATATTCTTGATATCGTCAGTCACAATGTTGGCAACATAGAATCTGCAATGTGAAGGTTGAAGATTCACAAGTTCTAGTTACATATATGCAGTACAAAGTTTTGTAGGTACTAATTCTTTTATTCGCTCCTTTCAGGATGAGTGCTGTTGCTTATCTTGCTAGTTACTTGTCTCGTGCAAAATTTTCGTCAGCCTCATTTGTTGCTATCATATTGAAAAGGTTGATGAGCATTTTATAATCTGCTCTTTAAATCTTGCGTGTCTATTTCTAATGCTGTGTGTCTTGCTATGTTTATGAGGTCTCAGGCTGGTAGATTGGTGTTCTGAATATTGTCAAATCCATGATGGTGATACCAATCCAGAAGCTCATAGAATTTTTTATTCTGGATGCCAGGTATTTGATATTTTGACATTCAGTTAGGATCAGCAAGAGTTAAACAATAACAATTGATGATAAACAGTAAGGCATTTGTAAGAGCTAGTGACAGTCTTTTAATTGGATTATATAGGTTTAATAAATTTTAGAGTTTTGTATTTGTAATTTGGTTGCTTAAAATGAAGGAATTATCTTCATATTGGTGGTTTAGAAATTTGATATTAGGAATTTTTGATTTCTTGAATGGTTAGTTTGTCCAGGAAATTGTTCTGTATAATTTTAGAAGATACAATTTCCGCTGCCTATTTTTTAAAAATAAAAATAAAAATTTCCCTTCGGTTTATGTTGCACAAACATATATAGTCATCCATTACTATTAAAATATAGCCAACCTATGGTATAGGTTCCAAACCCTTGTAGGTGCGTTTGTCTGCCCCCTAAATGATAGCTGTTGCTTTTGCTTTATAATTTTGTCTATCTTGATGCTTTTGAGGTTGCTATAGGTTGGACCTTCATTTGATACCCATTATTCAGTTTCACTGTATGCTCACAAATGAGAGGGCCTTCATTTGATACTTGTATTTAATTTGCAATTTTGCGTTTGATTTTTATTTTTTATTTTTAAATGATTGAAGTGACTGTAAATTTGGTGTTGTGCTGTCATTTTCTGTTGCACAGGCTTTCATGTATGTGCGTTGCTTTCATATGAGATCAATGACGGATGTTCCTCCGCTCAAATCACAACTGCTCTTTATGCCTATTGAGTCAATTTTGAAGCATCCTTTGAACCCACTGAAGGTGAATTTAGCACAGTTTTAAAAATTGTAGATTGAATTTCCCGATTTTCCCCTTATTTACTAATGTTTTTATGCCATTTACTAGTGGAAGATGTAGATGTGAAAAAAGTAGGATTTACAAAAGATTTTCATACATTTAGAGAAATCATGTGATAGAGTTTTAATAGAGAAAATTTGGTAGGTCGTACAATGAAAAAGAAATTCTTGTAGTTCATTTTATCCAAGATGTATAATGTGAGACAAGAACTATTGTTTGTAATATATATGAGGAAACTAATAATTTTCATATAAAATTAAAATTACAATTTGGATCAACATTATTGCCACATCTGTTCTAATTAGCTTTAGAAAAAATATTTGCTTGTTGATGATTATGATGGACACATTTAGGGAAACTCTAGCAACAAAAATGAAAATATGGTGAACTGCACAAGGTTTGAAAAGGGCTAACCCTGTGCACAAGGTTCCCACGTCTTAGCTTCACATGGAGTGGCTGTTTCTGATTTAGAAACTGTGACGTCCAGGTTACAATGTAACAACCTCACCATTGAGCCAAGGCCCACCCTCAATTGCACAAAGTTCAAAAGTTATAAAATTTGTAGAACTAAAACTGAATATATGGGATTTGAACTAAATACCTAAAAGAAAAAACTAAACAATTTTGATAAGTGACATTGAAATGGTGATTATTTTAAGACAAAAAAAAAAAAAAAAAAAAAAAAAAAAACCATTCTTAATATTAGACCAATTATCTTGTGCTGGTTATCAAAAAAGTAACAGGAATAATGCATCTGTGTGGTTGAGATGCAAATATTAGGTTGGATTAACTAGAAAAGAAATTATTAATTGTCAGCATCATAGAGAGAAATTATAAGTGTCACGTATTGATGATAAAACAAGAGATAGTAGGCTTCGGTAGTTTGTGTACATCTGATATAGATAGTAAAAGGGGTTAGTTAAAATAGAAAGTAAAGGACAAAGAGGCCGAACAAAACTAATATGTGATGGTTGAATAAGGAAAGATTTTAAGAAATTATATAATAGGATAACTTGTAATAGAAAAGAGTGGAATAAGAGAGTTTTTGTGGCCGAGCCTGTTTTGGATATGTTCAAGGAGGTGATGCATGATTTATGCCAATAACTTACATATGTCTTGCGAGCTTTGGTTAATTCCCTTTAAATTTTGACAGAGCATGGGGCTTAATCTTCCTTGATTTCATCCCTGGCAGGTGTGCCTGCCATCCATAGTACAGGAATTTCTTCGGCAGGCCAAAGCATCTCATCTATTTACAGTGTCAGAGAGCTTCATGTTTGATGATCTGCTGGAATCAGAATTTTCCAGAGCTTTTGGTGGGATAGAAAGGCTTGACAAAATCTGACAGGTTTATCTTCTTATCTTTGGGTCTAAGTAATTTTAGTAGGATTTATTTAAAATTGCATGTTACGTAGTGGGAGATCTATTTTGATAGATGCAAAAGATGGGAAGACATTGTTCTCTATATACCTGTCTTTTGACTGCTTCTTTAGAATCCAGAGCTTTGGAAGGGGGTCTTCAGCATAGCCATTTACATTTGTGCGGTTCACCTGTGGCCCTATTTAGAAAATTTATAACAATTCTATCATTGGATTTGAGATGGACTGACTTGGATTTAATTATTTAGACATTTCATTTTGAGGTCCAAGGACAAATTTGAGAGCCCTTTTTCATAGATCTGATATAAAACAACGTGATGAGTAATTATATGAAATCCTTTCCATGAAGGTATTTTTCTGTGTCCAATACATTGGTTAATCCTGTTATATATTTTGAAAATTTGACCCCTAAATCAACTCCTTTTGGGCTCATCAATTAAATGCTACATAATAGATCTTTAAGCAGATGATCTTATAATTGAGCAACCCTCTAACCTTTTAATCACGTTCTTCTGGACCAAAACAGTGACAGGAGAACAACTCTTCCCAGGCTGTGTAATCAATATCTATCTCCTACAATATTGTTGGGACCTCTTGTGATTGCCTCTTGCATATTTTGCTGACTTTTATCCTTTTTCTATGTTGAATTTCTTCAATCTGAAGATTCATCCGGCCGAACTTTGTTTACTGGTCAATGGTTCGAACTAACGACGACGATGAAGAAGGTAGTAGTGATGAAGATGTGGCTGAGATCTGTACCATGGGGAATGAATTGCACATAGAGGATGATGGAACCTTCGGCAGTTTGGATGAACTTGATCTTGATGAATTTGATTCCTTGAAGTACAGGTTTGGAGGTGAATTAGGCAGACCCGTGCAGATGCCCTCAAGAATCAGATCGTCCACTAGTCCGGACTCCTTGTAATGCAGGTGGTTTTGCGAACATTGGTGAAATTGAAATGTTTTTGGGGTTGGGTAGAACATGTTAGACTTTATCAGTTTTGAGGAATGATAGGTCATCGTTGCAAACACAAAGTGGTGGGGCTAGATGTGAAAGATTCTATGCTACGAGTGTCTTGGTTTGAGTATGTGAAATATGTCTGTTGTAAGAGTTCCTTGTGCGGTAATGTTGTAATTTAATCTACAGATTTCTCTAAATTCATCCTCGAGCAAATCATTGTAATAATCATTTTTGTTTTTATTTTTATTTTTATTCTCGAGCGAGTTAAATTGGTGAGCTTTACAGCCAGTGCAATTTAGTATACTATGAAGTATTTCTCAGTAAAAATGTTAATGAACAGAATTGTGGAATGTGGAAAAAGAGAATTGATGTTTTGCAGTTGAGGTTATTCAGGTCCTTAAGATGCAATTGTATGGTCAGAGATTAGGTTATGAAATTCTTTCCATTAATAAAGTTCGTTAGTTAATTAATTTTTGCAATATGGCCCATATCAGTCGTGCATATATTATTAATTTTCTTACACTTGCCTGATAATATATACAAAAATTAATTAACTAACGAACTTTCTGGAGAAATTGTTCACATATTATTCACATCATTATCGGGTAAATCAACCAGAAATCTCTAATCTTATTAACATTATATGCTCATGACTTTAGTATTAACAAACATTTTTTGACAAATCCATAAGCATATTATTCTTAATTGGGTTTCTAAATACCACTAGGGGCGTATTAATTCTGCTACAAATTCATCGATGTTCTTATCAGAACTTCCACCTTCATCAACGGCCTCTTTCGCCAAATTCTTCCATTTGATCGCGTTCTCTTTTATCTCTTTCCCTTTCTGCCCTTCCATGACTTCCCTAATGCACAGCTCCAACACTCGTCTTCTCACAATGCCCTTCTCATCCTGCCTAGTCCGGACTCCCATGCCCCAAACATCCTCCACATACTTTGCATTTGTGCCCTGGTCTGTCCACTGTGCCATTGTCACCAGCGGCACTCCCAAGCTTATTGCTTCAAGAACTGAATTGAAACCACTGTGTGTAACAAAGCACCCTACTGATTCATGAGCCAACACCTCTAGCTGTGGACTCCATGTCACAATTAGACCTCTTTCGGATACATCATCCGTGAACTTTTCCGGGAGCTTGGCTTCTTCGGATGCCCTCACAACCCACAAGAAGTAAAACATGCTCTCCTTCAAACCCCAAGCTACTTCTTCCATTTGCTCGGCATCAATTTCCGCCATGCTACCAAACGACACATAAACAACAGAGCCTCTCGGCTTTTCATTTAGCCAGTTCATGCACATGGCAGACTTTGGCTTGAAGAGATTGATATCATAGCCTCTATCGTCTTCCAGCCGCTTATCCAGATACATGGATGGAAGGGTTGGCCCTATTGTCTTCACACGCCAAAGTTTCGCCATCCAATCCACAGTCTTGATAAATATATAAAATGATTCATATCAAATTCAAATATTACAGAAAAATACACGCATGGTATAAATTAGTCACACATAGCGTAGCAATAAACTAACCTCTTTTTCCAATTCATAGAAATTATTGAAAAGCACCAAATCTGCTTTGTCAATGTTAGAGAATTGATTCACAACCATGTGATAGAAACCTGGGTATGACCCATAAATATATACAAAGGATGGTGTCTCCCAAGGTTCAAGAGGTGGCAATCCAGGGATTGAAACAGTTGAATCAGAAAGTGGGAGTGAAAGAAGTCCCTTATGGACATGGTAATATATGTTGTTGACAGCACACGACTGAGTGAAGAACACAGCTCCAACTAGTCCAAACTCCTTACTCACATCAAGTGCCCAAGGCAAGAACCCATCATAAACAAGTGCATCCACAGGTCGGCCAGCATCATCAAGTTTCTTGACAAGATTGGCTAAATCCCGCGACCCAACAGCGCAGAATTTGGTAAGGTAGGCCTCGGGGCTCTCTGCTTGCGCCCAGCCACCCTCATCGAAGCCATCAGAAATGGCCTCGACGTTGATTGAGCTGTTGAGGTCGTCTACGTGAATGGACTTGGAGACATAGATGCTGTTTACTAGTGTGGTTTTGACACCTCTGGAGACCAAACGCTTGCAAAATTGAAGCATTGGGGTTATGTGGCCTTGGGCAGGGAAGGGAAGGACCAGAACATGAGCTTTGTAGCTTCCCTTTTCCTTCGTCTCCATTTCTCTCTATCTGCTTAATCAAGGAGCTAGTACTCTCAGATTCTGTAATGTTATCACTAGGAAGTTGGCTACATTATCTCCATTTTTTTTTTGGGAAAATTACATATAAATGGAGTCAAAGTTTCATATTTACTCAGAGATGGAGTCAAAGTTCCATATTTCTCTAAAATGGATTGCTGAGGTGGCACATGATTTTTTACTGTTTAAAAAATTGTGATGCCTAAAATGCCCTTCCCTAATAAAAAAGTAGTACCTTCAGTTAAAAAAAGTAGTACCTTCAGTTCAAAAAAGTAGTACCTTCGGAGAAAAAGTAGTACCTTCGCGAGTGTTTAAAAAACATGGTACCTGAACGCCAAAAAGTAGTACCTTCAGTTCAAAAAAGTAGTACCTTCGAAGAAAAAGTAGTACCTTCGCAGAAGGGTATTTTAGGCATCACAATTTCTAAACAGTAAAAAACCATGTGCCACCTCAGCAATCCATTTTAGAGAAATATGGAACTTTGACTCAGCCTCTAAGTAAATATGGAACTTTAACTCCATTTATATGTAATTTTCCCTTTTTTTTTTCCGAAAAAATAAAGTGGTGTGGATTTTAGGTTGTCTCAAAACTTCAACATTTGTGACAATCAATTAACATATTATAAGTTTGAGAGAGGCGTGTAAGGTTTTCTTAACTCTTCACCATATGTGAATATTACAAGTTTGAGGGAGTTGCATGTAAATCCGATTTGGACAAATATAAGATAAAAAATTACATGAAAGAATATATATGTGTGTGTGTTGGCGGGTCATATTTGCCTCTGTATTAGTAAGGAGGAATCTCTTCCAAATACTGGTGCAACACAATTATAAGTTGTTTTTTTTTTTTTTTTCAATTATCAGTAACACAATTATAAAATGACATGTGTAATTTTAGAGCTTCAATCTTTTAAAAATTTTAAGTTTTTTTTTAATTATCGGTAACACAATTATAAGATGACATGCGCACGTCTTTTTTGAATTTTAGGGATTCAATCTTTTTAAAAAGAAAAAAAAAAAATAGATATTTTAAATGCAAGGACGCATGTCATCTTCTTATTGTCACTGTAACGGACTAACAGTTTGGAGAAAGATATCTTCTTACTAGTGTAAAGCCAAACATTGTTCTTGTTTATATAGTTCTCTTTTATCTTGGAATCTCACATTTTCTATTATAGATTTGTCTGTGGCTTATGCAAAATTCTGCATGGTCGAAATCGAGTCTTTCATATATTTAAGAAAAAGAAAAAAAAAAAAAAAAGTGATGATCAGGAGACTGGTACTGGTGTGATGCTAAATACATTTCGACGGTCAAATTAGTACTTGAATCGTTGTATATTGATAAAAAAACTTTGTATTTAATTTGTTGTACTTTTGAATTGATCATTGATAAGATAATAGTGGGTGGTTGTGTTACTTCGAGGAGTGCACCAGTTTGGGTGTTTTGTTCGTCGGTTCGAGCACCTATTAAGTCTGAGACTCCTTCGTAAAATATTAGAAGGAAGTAGTTACTTATAAACTTATATTATTTCTTCGATTTTTTTATTGTTTAATTTTTGGTTGTTAACTTAATTAATTTTGAACTTCCCTAAAAACCCTACTTAATTTCTTTTAGATGTCCCAATGGAGTTCCTATTCTAAATGAATTTGTCAATTACTTTATTACATCTAGCATTTCATCTTTGACTACAATACAAAAATATAAAATTAGCATCCAAGCAAATGTTAAAGATAAAAATAAAATTACAGAATAATATATATATTTATGTTCGACGACTATATTTGCCTCAACGCCAGTAAAAAGGAACCTCATAGGTAAAAATAGAATTGTTATTTATTTATTTTATTTTATTTTTGTAAGTCATTTAATTGAACATACCAATATATCATTTATCAAATTGGACTCAATCCAATGGACTTTAGATCATGTTCCTTAAAGTTGTCAAATTTTTATCTGTGGACGTGAATAAAAAAACTTGTTACCTTAACCCCGATTATGACCCAAACATAATAATTTAAAAAAAAAAAAAAAAAATGTCCGTTGTCATCACTCATTTGTAAATACAAATGGACTCAGTATTAATCCCGAAGAAAGGTTTATGATGTTTAAATCTGCCAAATTCAGCGGGGTCCATCGATGTTGGCGTTAATCTGCCAAATTCAATTCAGCGGGGTCCATCGATGTTGGACGTTATTGCCAAATTCAATTCAGCGGGGTCCATCGATGTTGGACGTTAATCTGCCAAATTCAGTGGGGTCCATCGATGTTGGACGTAAATGGTAGTAGTTGGGTTCATACGACTCTATGATCATATATATATATATATATATATATATATATATAGAGAGAGAGAGAGAGAGAGAGAGAGAGAGAGACTTATAGAGTAAATTATCTTTTCAACTATATTGGTCAGGTTTCTGTAACTATCATATTAAGTCTAGGTCTTCTAAGTCTAGGTCTTAGTCTTATTAATATGTCGTAACCATGCAAATTATGAAGAGGGAGAATATAGACTGAGTAACATCCAAAAAGCATAAGGTGACTAAAAATTACAAGTGGATATGTTTGTAATTACACAACTCTTTATTGTATCTTTCTATATTGGTAGGACTTTTGAAACTATCATACTAAGTCTAGGTCTTCTAAGTCTAGGTCTTTTAATAATTTCACGAATTAGTAACTATCATACTAAGTATAGGCCTTCTAATAATTTCATGCAAGTTTTAGTCGTATCAATATGACCTTAGGTGATTTAGGAAACCTAATGCCTCAATTTTTTTTTTTTATTTCTTGATATTATATCCTTCCTAAAATTTTTATTTCCTTCTTATTATCACTTCAGCCAACAATATAAATGTCCCAAAATTTGTATTTTTTTATATTATAACTTTCATTTTTTTTATTTGTTTATATTATAACCTTCCTAAAACTGTTATTTCCTTCCTATTATTAAACTCTGTCTAATAGAAAGGCTCCAATTTTTTTTTTTCTTTTTTTTCCCTCATTTTTTATTAAGTATAAGTTGTATGACTCTAAGATCAATTATGTGACAAGAAAGATTAATTGGATCAATTATATATATATATATATATATATATATATATATATATATATATATTAAAATGCCACTTTTATATTTTTCGCTTAAAGCCTCAAATTATATTGAGCCGCCCCTGAAAAGACTAATGAGATAAATCCATGAAGTCATCTTCATCACCATTGTTTTCCCACTAGCTCTACAAAGACAAAGAAGATATATAATAAATAGTCATAATCAAAAGGTAGAAGACAATAGGCTATGTTTTAATCTTATTTTTCTCACTTCTCCTTCTCTTTTTTTAACGGAAATATTCTTTATTTTAATAATTGAATATATATATATAGTTAAATTTTCATCTATGATAATTACGTTCGAAATATTTTAATAAAAATATAATTAAAAAATTATTTTGTGATGATTTATTATGAACATTGTTTCTGTCACCTTTTAATTTTAAATTCTAGATAAATGTTAGAAGAGTGGTTGCAAAACCAATCTCAACAAATGGGCCCACAAGTGGGTTAGAGAAGTTAACAAGTGCATATAGCCTATATAGGTCCAGCCTCACACTAAATTACAAGGCATATGGGCCAATCCCACCCTTAAAAAGTTAGGAACTCAACCCAACTTTCAAAAGTTTACACCATACACAAACCATCTCAACTTGGCCGGTGAGTAGCAGGTTTTAGGTGTGTCCGGTATACTGTTCACTAAAATTTTTCATTCTTATTATATATATTTTAAAATTATTGTACTCCATTCTATAAATGTAATTTATTTGAATCCAAAAATATCACTCTTTATATATAATCCACCTCTCTCTATACGAGCTATTTTTCTTTTTGAGATTTTCGAATCTCTCTCTTTTATTTTATGTTTTTTGTTGCTAAAATTCTTTTAAGTAATTCAGTGTTTGATTTTTATTCAATCCTTCAATGTACATAACATTAATTTTTTTGAAATAATGATTTTTGACACCACATCAAAGTATTTAATGACCTTTAAATTGTTTGGTGTGTGAGAGCAAGTCCAACGGTGCCTGTTAGGCGATTTGGGCTCATATTGGCGACCCAATCTGCTCCATTGTGGGTCGTCAAAATTGAGTCACGTCATGCGGATCGGGGAATGCGTCGCCGTTTTCAGCGACCCTGTTAGCGAGCGCGGGTCAGCCTTTTTTATTATTATTATTATTGTGGCCCAACTTACTGTAACTTAGTCCAGATTACTGTTTTCAAGGGCGTGTTTGGCTAAAATATTATCCAAAAATCAAGTTTTTGGGTTATTTTGGTCTCTCTTTTTTTCCTCAACATAATTGAACTAATAGAGCCGTTAAGGCACTGTTTGGCTGACACAAACAGTGCCTTAAAGGCTTTTTTGGGCAAAAAAAAGTTTTAAAAAAATTGAAAAAAAAAATAATTTTAAATTTTTTTTTGTTTCAAAATTTTCAATGTTCCTATAGACATTATAGCCGTTTTAGATACTGTTTGGCTGCCCCAAACAGTGCCTTAACGGCTATATTGGCTAACCAAATATTTTTTTTTCCCTAACAAATTGAAATTTATTTTAAAATATGACTTTTTTATGTAAAAAAATGTGTCTTTGTTTTCACCTCTTTAAATTAATAAATTAAATGATATTAGATATTTTATTGTTTATAATATTTCATACATATTGGCTAAATAATTTAATTAACAAACAATTTAATTATTTATTTCAAAATAAAACATTACACATTAAATACGTATTCCATTACATAAACCTTATAACAATTTAAAAATAAATAAATGCAACATAAATTAAACGTTTTCTTCACCAAATCGATCCACAAATTTTCAATTAAATCTTTATTTAATCGCGTATTTGTCTCTTTGTTACGAATTTGGACTTGACGAGAGTAGATGTGTGCCGCTAAGACCGATGAATTTTGAATTAAAGTGGGAATCGAGATTGTCTCCTCCGGTGGCGGAGTTCATCTTCCAACATTGGTATGACGCTCATCTTCAATGATCATGTTGTGAAGTATGATGCACGTTTCATT